GCGGACGGACAGCTAGACAGACTGACGGACAGACGAATGAGATTTAATGTCCCTTCGCTTTCGCGAAAGCGGGGGACAATATTAATAAAAAGAACAAGATGTTTTGTGAAACACTGATTCCCCCGTACAGCAACATAGCGAAGGTTAAATTTTCTCAAATGCAAATCAAATATGTTGATACCCAAAGTAAGGCTTTCTCACAAGAAATACAAATATGAAATATAAAACCCTAGCACCACCTGTTCAATAATTATGGCCAAGGTTAACGTTTTTTAAAGGTAGGACGAACTCCGGGATCAAGGTCAAAGGATAAAGGTTGTTGGTTTCTAAAGAAAGGCCTTGTCAGAAAGATTACCTATGGGAAGTATGCAAGCCGTAACCCTTCAAAAGTTATTGCCATGGTCAAAGTTTTTTAAAAGTAGGTCAATCTCCAGGGTCAAGATCAAAGGATCAAGATTGCTGGTATCCAATGAAAGGTCTTGTCACAAGGATTACATATGTGAAGTATGAAAGCCATAGCCCTTACCGTTCAAAAGTTATTGCCAAGGTTTTCGTTTTATAAAAGTAGGTCAAACTCCAAGGTCAAAGGGTCAAAGTTGTTGGTTTCCAATGAAAGGTCGTGTCACAATGATTACATATGTGAAAAAATTAAAGCCGTAACCTTTACCGTTCCTACATGTAAGTTATGGTCAAGGTTAAAGTTTTTTTTTAATGAAAGAACTTGTCACAAGGATAACATTTATGAAGTACGAAAGCCGTAGCCCTTACCGTTCAAAAGTTGTGGTCAAGGTTAAAGTTTGGTGTAAAAAACTCCAAGGTCAAGCCCAAGAGGTCAAATTGGGTGGTACCCAAAGAAAGGTCTTGTCACAAGGAATACACCTTTGAAATATGAAAGCAAAGTCCCACCCAGTCAAAAATTATTAGCAAGGTTAAAGTTTTTGCGGACAAACAAACAGACAGAAATACATTCATACATACATACAGACAGACAAACGGACGGACAGGGCAGAAACTATATACCTCCGAAACTGCGTTTACCGTTAATAAAAAAATATCTTGTCATGGACTGTAAAACAAAAATTTTGAGTCGGACCATTTTCAGTCAGTCCGTCGGGAGAGTGCAACCGAACAATTTTTTAAGGTGGCCCCAGTTTAAAGTTTTTGGTGCAGATCCATTGCCAACTAACTGTAAGTCCTATCAACAATAAACTTGCAAGGATATCAAACTGAAACCAGGATGACAGATTATTTGGTACTAGTACTAGTATTATAGCTGCAGATCTGTAGCTCGCTGATCTGAAAAAATTGGGATAGACGACCAGATCTGTCCATATTTATATTTTTCGGAGAACTACAGTTCTGTAGCTTCTCAACAGTATTAGAAAAAAACAATATGTGTTTGTGAAACACTATGCCCCCGATTGTTACACAGTTCTGGGGTGGAACGTGGACTGAAGTGGTATACACTTACCCTTGACAGCTCAATAATTATGGGCTGGGTTAAAGCTGACAACAGACAGACAGGAATCTTTCGATCCGGGGGCATAAATATGATGTTAGATCTGCTTTTCTTATAGAAAACATTTGTTGAGGTGAGCTTCGTAATATATTTTATTTTTTTGATAACGTAACTTGCTTTTTTATAAACCATGTAGTGATGAATTCAAATTTTTTTTTATAATGGAGGATGGAGAGTGGGAAGGGGGGAGCCTTTGAACTTCCTGCATGTGTTAAAAATTTCTTCTTAATTAAGAACTCTGTTAATCATAACGTCAGAAACACACTTTTACGAATTACATCTAATAATCAATAAGTAAATCAGTTGAAATTGTAGTTAGAATTTTTATACCCCCCCCCACCGCTTGAAAAGTGGGAGGGTATATAGTGATCAAGATGTCCGTCTGTCTGTAGGTCCGTCCGTCAGTCCCTTTGTTACGCTTTGGGGTACCTATCTCTTATCCGCAATTCCTCTTATAGTTATACCACTGAATGAAATTTAAAGCGACTTCAAGTATCTTTGTGACATAGTGCCATTATGCACCTCCTGTTTTACTTTTTGATCGCACGTACCCATATTTCGGGTTTCCCACGGCAAAACATACATAGGTACTACCATTCTTTCTATGATACTGAAGGGTATCCATCTCTTATATCCACAACTTCTCCTATACCACTGAATAAAATTTAATGATACTTTCACAGATTCTTAATAGCATAATGCCACTGTGCATCTAACTCTCCTATTTTACTTTTTGATCTGACACTTATTTTTGGTCTTTCAGAGCAAAACATCGACTTTGCCATTATATAAACAAGGTTAGCTTTTTTAAAAAAGCTGACTGTCAGCCACTGGAATACAGAAAGTTTCTCTCTTGTTTTGTAATGGTTTATGATTTGATCTATCCACCATGTTGTGTTCCTTAAATATAATAAATGCCATTGTAAGAAAAGTTAAATTCTTGTAATCGTTTTCTTATTTGTAACATAATGCCACATACATAATAAATAATAAAGCATAGAATAATTTTTTTAAAGAAAAATTATGAATTCATGAAAACCACCACAATATGAAATATTTGTAAAATGGAATGACCTTTGTTATGGCGTCCGTAAAAAATGAAAAAGGGGCAGGGGGTTAACTCTATACTTAATATATTTTAGTTTAGGAAAAATTCTGCGTGATCATTACAATGATCTTCAATAAATTCTCTTCGGCGCAGACATCAGAGAAAGTTCATCTTATACCGGTAAATGAACAAAAGCAACCATGGCGACTAAGATCACGTTAAATTCTATAAAAATGATATAGATTCTGATGAATAAAAGGAAGGTAGACTTTGTGTTAGTTTGTTTTTAAGTTTTCATTTGTGCATTTCGATGCAATGCATGATGTGGAGGGGGGAGGGGGGGGTGGGGCATGCTGCATGCATATTTAATTCCATTTCTAAGTTTTAGCATCCATTTTAGTGTTATTAGGAAAGAAAAGAATTGCTTCCAAAAAAGTAATGAACGCCACAGAAAACAATTTAAAATGGAAATTCAAATATGTTTATCCATGTACACACAATGTCTTTGATGATGTCTACCATCATAGCAAAACTATAGCTTAAAAAACTGGAATCCATCTCCCCCCTCTCTCCTTTCATGGGGGGGGGGGGGGTTGACCCTGTCTATAAATCAGCACAGTTCTCTCAGGCTATCGCACTTCCACTGTGGTCAATTTCTCACATGTGGGCGCGGTTCACGTGCACAAGCGGCACTTACATGTCTATCATCATGTAAATTATAAGAATTTTTAAATGTCTCACAGTGGTCTTCTGATGTTTTCATAACTTCCATCATTAGAGTGAAAAGAAATTGATCTTTTTTTTTTTTTTTTTACTATTTTGGTACCTTTGTGGCAAGTGGATTGTTGTGTGAATTCCGACCCGTACATGTCTTATGCAAGGTATTGAATATTGATCGAGGGAGTTTTGCATCAGGCATCCAGAAGAAATGTAAATCTTCGGCTTCCAATGGCGATTGAGGGAATAAATGTACTTGTCTTCTATTAGAAGCAATGAAATATTTTCATAGTATCATTTAATACTGACAAATATCCCATCTAGAAGCTGAACAGTCTATGTCATGAATTTTCGTCCAGAACTACGAAGAACAAGAAACATATTGACGCAAGCGTCAAAAATCGGCCGCAAACCAATTAATTCTTTCATAATACAATTAGAAACTATAAATTCTTATATTTATCTGTTAATATATATCCCTATGACATTAAACATTTGAATGCGACATTCCAGGGTTTTCTTCAGTACATAATACCTGTACATTGCTACATGTACAATGTATTTAAGCAACTTACTCATAGTCCTCTGCGCACTCAGTTTCATTTGTACAAACGAACTCTGGCGGAAGTTTGATGTTTAAGTAGTTTTAACACTTAGCCATCAAAACTAACGTTTAAACTTATCTAACTAGAGACAGTTTAACTTTAAATAAAACGTAACAACTATGTGGGGCTCCTCGCTCGCTCAGAGGATGTTGAAACCCCCAAATTCCCTCTAGATCCGCCACTACATTTTTTTCTCTATCTTGTTTTCGTGTGAGATGTGGCGGGAAAAGACTTGGCATATTGTAAAACGCGCTTTGTCCTTGTCTGTTGGAGAAAAATCTCCTAATATTCTGTCTGATAATAAACTAAGATTAAGTCATATTTTTGAAAACTTTCCGTATTAAAGTACATTGTATATTTATATTTACACGTCATTTTAAATTATATATACAACAAATCCTGTTGAAGTAGAGAAAGTAAATTTGTTTATACATGTATATAACGCGGCCCTTGCTTTAGACTATGCCCAACATGTGTGCTTATATATTTCTCCGCACTTCAGTTACGTCGGAGTTTGTCAATCAGGATTGGATGAAACATTTAACCCAATATTTATAAAATTTTAATTTTATGATTATTGTGCGTTTTTGTTTAACATTTAAAAAATCTTTCTTAATTTTCTATTACATGAATGTTAAATATTTTTTATTCAAATTGTTCTAACTCCGCAGAAACGCACGGCGACTTAAAACTTTCATATCATATAACCGACCGCCTCCTGGCGGCCGGTAACAATGCATGAAGTCTATAAATAGATCGAGGTCGTGAGTGTGCGTGAAGAAGCACGCCCTCTGGTTGGAGAAAATTGTGCAAAACTTTTTCCCAGAATTCCGTTTAACGCAAGCGCACTTGCAGTTTCATCCTAACGTAACTAGTCAGCCCGGGGGCTGACTAATCATATAGGAGGCGGGGCATCATTTAGTGATCATTGCTCACATTACCTCTTGTTTAACAAAGGATTTCTTTCTTTTTTGGTTAAATTTGATAAATTATGTGAAATAGTGTAAAAAAAATAATAAACATGAAATTGTTTTTCTGCGCGAAGCATTGGGCAATGAAAACCTCAGTCGACCTTCAAATACAGGTTAGCGTTTTTGGCCCATGGGCCTCTGTTTTACAATCGAAATACAAACTCATTCATGCAGACATTAAATGCTTATTCAAGTTCGGGATCGGCATCAAATCCTTTTTAAATGCAGCTTGTGTTATGTTTTAATATTTCAACTTATATAATTTGATGTGCCAGGTGGGAGAAAATATTTTTGCAGGTAAGTCCATGTTACAAAAATAATCGATAGGTCTACATTAGTAGCAATGCCCAATGATTTTTAAAGAGTCAAAAAATTGTTAGTTTTTTATGTCCATTGTGTAAAGTATGACCCACTGATTCCATATCAAAAATCATTTCTTAAATCGGGTGAAAATTGAGCTTTTAATGAATGTTTAAAAAATGCAGAATTCTTACAGAGTTATCCATCTTTCCGAGGAAAATGATTGGAAAGTGTACATCAGCAGATTAAAAGCAGATAATGCAGGAATACTAGATCAAAACAATTTTAGAATATAACCTATGTACCAGTTTGTTAATTTTATCTAAAATTTCATAATTTTCTAGTGCCACTGTTGAGACATAGAAGAAAATATGACACAGAATGTGAAATGCAAGAGTTGTCTTCCTTTGTTTTCTTTATTTATACAGAATAGCTTATGTCTCATTATTCGTATGCTGTGTTGTCATTTAAAGAAATAAACTTAGCAAGAAAAATCAAAGTATGATTATAAATGAATTTTCATTTGACTTTCACTGTTTTCTTCACCAATGTAAGTCAATCTTGAAATTTATTCTTGTTCACTTTGAGATGAACCCTACTTTCGTTTTCGGGCACGAAATAGTCTTTGAACGGAATTTCATTATTAAAATGCTTCAGGATAGTTCAAAAACAAGAATATAACATTGTATCACTTGACAAATTAGTAAACAGACCATCAGACGTTCAATTCACGTTGTGTACATTTTTTCTACACACGTGTTGGCTGGCTTACAATCCGAATTTGCTCCAGTAGGCCTTAGAAAATTCGTGTGGCGAACAAGAACGGTTGAATACTTGCCTGTAAGTGATATGCATTTGTAGTGGTATATCAGAAAAGTTATTTTTGCATGTTTTGACACTGTACTCGTCCGTATATGAAAATTAGAGATTTTTAAATTTTTCAATCTATTTTTAAAACAAATCGCGCCATACTTAAACATTCAGGGTTGGTAAAGGGGGCATTCAAACTTCATAGAAAGGTCGTCAAAACGCTTGAAAACACGAGGGAAAATGTATTCACTTTTTAAGCTCTTTTTTGATACGGAATCAAAACGAGGCTGAGGAAATCTGGAAAGTTATCTCCCCCTTGCTTGGGCATTGCTAACATTAGTGTCAGGATTATAACTAGAAATGGTGACAATATCTGAATATTGTTATTATATAATAATTCTTATTTCCATTCGGCTTTGTCGTTATGATGCAGCTTAATTGCTACTGGCCACGGATATAACTTGACAGTGACCTGTAGTCAGTTTAGAATTAATATTATTAATAACAAGATTCCATTGGCCATAAGAGTAAAATTTGGTGTTGATTTAAACAAGTTCCTTTCCCACTAATATTAGGGAAAATACTCTCAATGCTCGTAAATTCAATTGACAAATTAAAAAAAAGTAGAACACCTGCTCTTATGAGAGTCTTGGACTTGACATAAGGCTATCTGGGCAAGGTCACTGGCAGAAAAAGTGTATAATTTGTATAGACAAATCCATAACTTTAAATGTATAAAAATTGCAATTTTGAGAATTCAAATGACATATAAAACTTCCTTCACCTGAGAGTGGGACATTTAATATATATAACCTTTATTAACCTTTACTGTCTGTGCCAGGAATAGTAAATATTTTTTGTGTACTTAAAAATGTTCTTAAGGAAAAAAATATGGAATTCATATTACTTATGACCTGAGGGCATGTCATGACCTTGAGCCAGGTCACTTGTATGATTTCAAGGTCACTTAAAAAAGATGCTAAAGTGTTTCTATAAACTCTTTATTGGATAAACCTTGGAGAATGCTTCACCTGAAGATGACTTTTGTCCTTAGGATGTGTTATGACTTTGACATAGGGTAATTTGTGCAAGGTCAAGGTCACTTTAACAAGTCTCTGCTATACTTTATGATAGGAATACATTAGAAATTCATACTTATGCAAAAGTATGATCTGGATCGAGTCTTTCATTAAATTTTGGGGTATGTTCAAGTGTTCAAGGTCAGTGACATTAGTATCGAATGCTCTAAAACTTCATGTGAAGTACTGCATGGTATATTTGATGCAGCAATGTTTTTTTTTAAAATAATCAAGTTGGAGGTATCCATTTGTAATCATGATAAATTTTGTCCCCAGCTTTAGCGAAAGCAAGGGGACATTAAATTCTCAATTATCTGTCCGTTTATCAGTCTGTCTATTACGTCTGTCACAAAAACTCTAACCCTTGGTCATTGTTGAATGAGAAGAGACAGGGCCTTCATGATATGCCTGTGACAAGACCTTTCCAAGTATGCTATGTTTTTTTTACCTCTTGACCTTGACCTTGTGCTACTTTTCAAAAATTTTAATATTTAGACTTTAAAATTGAATATAACTTTTGAAAGATATCCAGATGCTTCAGTATCTGGACGATTTTCCATTGGAACAGATTTTAAAAAAAATATTTTTGTTTTGTTTAACGGGTAATTCAGATATCCGGACGCTTCACATATCCGGGCAATTGACTAGGAACCAAAGCATCCGGATAAATGAGGCTCCACTGTATAACTTTTGAAAGATAAAAGAAGCTTTCATACTACACATATATGTTACCTGAGACAAGAACCTTTCTAAAATATACAATGATTTTTTACCCTGTGACTTTGAATGTTGAAGATTGACCTACTTTTTTAAAATGTTATTTTTCCTTATTTTGAAATTTCTATGGAATCATGTGTTTGCCCTGTTCACAGATTTGCATTGTTTGTAGATTTTCTTTTAGATCAATTTCTGCATGTTCCTTCTCTTCACTAATTTAGCTGACCTTATCTGAAAGTTTCTGATTGCCTTTCATCCATCAGTCTGTAAACTTTTCACATTTTCAACTTCTTCTCAAAAACCACGGGGCCAATTTTAAACAAAGCTGGTATATAGCATCCTGAAGCTGAGTTTAAATTGTTAAGATGAAGGGCTAAGCCCCCTTACAAGGGGAAATAATCAAGAAAAGACAGAAATAGGGTAAGTAAGGGCAAAAAAAAAATTCTTCTCAAAAACCAATGTACCAGAAAGGTTGCATATGTGGAGGCATCCTGGTATAGTGTAGATTCTAAATTTTTAAGATCATGACCCCAAGAGGTAGGGCTGAGGGCCACAATAGGGAATCCAAGTTTTATTAAAAATTGAAAGATTACTTAGGAAAAAATCTTTGAAAATCTTCTCTTCAAGAACCACTGGGTCAGAAAAGCTGAAACCTATGTGGAAACATCCTGGGTAATCATGACCCCCAAGGGGTAGGTTGGGGCCACAATATAGGTATTACAAGGGGGGAAAGTCTCTGGTGAAGAACTGCGAGGCCAAAGTTACTCAGGTGAGCATTTTGGTCCTTGGGCTTTTTGTTTCATTTCATCTGTAGTTTAAAAGTCTGTTTAATAAGTAATTGTTCTGAGTATATATATATGATCTTTGCAATCAATGACATATCTGTTAGTTTTATCTCACAAATAAAATATGATTTAGAGTGGAGTATGGCTTTTTCTTTATTCTTTCTCCATCTAGTATGAGAATGTATACTTTATGTTGAGGAGAATATCAATCATGCTCACTCCAATAAAAATCATAAAAAAGATTCATCCTTTTCTGCTTAGATGCTTTTATTATATATCCATGTATGACATTGCAAAATGTGGTTTTAAGTGTTATTCTACATTATAAAAATTGCTATATTGCAAATCGAGGTGTACATTGCAGTGCTGTGACGAACACAATTTTTTTGATAATTTCCAGAATATGAAAATACACGTATAAATGGCTAAAAGGGAAAACATTGAAAAATGACCCTCAGATACAGACTGGGCAGTTTTACATGCTGCATGGAATTTTGGAAGTTACTGGCATACATCTATAGAGTCGTTGTACATAAAAGACCAACAACATGGTATCAGGAAAGGGACTGCCATCTAAGGATCCTATGGCTCCCCATCCAGGGAATCCGAGCGGTCCACCGCCCCAATATCATAGGAATGCACATGCTGGATCTGTACAAATACTATCCCACGATGACACTTGCAAACTGTGCCATGAGGGTGGTCTACTACCCATTTCAAAAGGTCACAATTCTCCAGCAGCAGCAAAGTGGTATATGGCTTGTACTTGTCACCTTTACCTATTGTTAATAATTATGTATATATATCTTTGTAGTAATTAACACCACTGTGAATAAATGCAATTGGTCTGAAATTACCAATATCAATGATGAAGTCTCACACTAAAAAAAAAATCTAGCATGGTCGTACGTCTCTTAGGGGACTTTCATATGGACTAACTGACAAATCAATTTTTTAAGTGTTGTGATTTTTTGTTCCAGAGAAAGAGAAGATATACAAAAACGTAACAGATACATTTGTCAAGATATTTCGACGGCAGGGAATAAGTGGACTTCTGAGAGGTGTAACATTCCGAGTGTTTGGACAGATTCTGTCCTCTCTGACCTATTTCAGTATTTACGAGGGTGTGCGAGAACTAACGTCCCAGCCCTCTATAGCTGGGTTCACTGCCTCCTGCACCGCCTCCTTCATAATCTGTCCATTTGATCTCATAAACCGACACGTCATTCTGCTAACAAAGAAGGCCACAAGTCAACAAGAGGTCCAGATCCTGAAAAGTCTCCAGCCTCTGCGGTACCCTAAAGAAATAAGACATGGGGGACGGTGGATATTGGAGAGTTCAGTCATCAAAGATGTGGGAAATAGACATGGATTTAAGGGGTTTTGGAGATCTCTACCATTGGTGATGATGTACAATGGAGTTCATAGTGCCTTGTGGTGGTCATCATTTGAATTTGTCTCAGGTAAAAACAGGAAGTAAAATTGTTGTAGCAAAGTCCTAAGGACTAGCAACTTTACCTCACTATATTCATTATATTTGTATACCAGTTTGTCAACAAAGTATGTAAATAAAATTATACCCAGTATCTTATTTGCAATATACATGTTCATATAGATGTTTTCCTTTAAATATGAAAGCATGCATCTCTCTGGGGAGTATCTAATATCCAAAATTGATTACATGTAACTGTAATCACTCAGTTTAACACAATATCAGAAAGATATTCACTAAGACTTCTGTTTCCTATAATTATTGAGAAAATTCTTTTAATATCATTTTATTTGGAACTCTGGTTTCCTGAGAAGTAAGGACTATACTACCAGGTATACATTTTGAGGTCTCAAGAGTCAATCTGGCCATAGAAATATCTTGAGAAATCTTTGCTTGACTAACTAATATAAATATAATAGTTTGCGTATAAAATAATTGTAAGAGTTGCTTTTTATTGTATAGGTATCATGGCCAGTATGTACCCTGAGATCCAACTTGGTTCCCTTCAACTTTAAAATCATCCAAAAATTGCTCTTGACGTCAAAGGTCAATTGGGTCAGATCTAATATAAATATAATAGTTTGCATATAAAATAATTGTAAGAGTTGTTTTTTTATTGTATATAGGTATCTTGGCCAGTATGTACCCTGAGACTTCTCGGGTGCTGAGGAATAGTGCCAGTGGCATAATATCAGGATTTGGAGTAGCTACTGTCACAAATGGTCTCTCCATTACTACTACAAGAGCACAGGTAAAACACCTTCATTTGAACTAACTTGAATCGATCTTACCAAAAACAAGGAAAATTTAAGAAATTTTCAGATAGATTTTAAGCTAAATAGAAGAGTCCCAGAAAAAAAAAAATGATCTGGCTAGCCAAGGGTTTTATCCGCACCACTCCCCATAAACCACTCCTCCTTTATGGGGAGAAAGATTTGATTTGAAAATGATTTAATTAACAAGATGAAGTGATGTGGAATATGTGCCTTGATTTTATTTGTTCTACAAGTAAATTGATCTCAGAAAGAATAATGATATGCATGATTTAGCAATTTTATATTATTTTTTTTAATGATGCAAAAAACTTTCAGCTGAAGCAGGCCAGTATTCAAGAGGCTGCCAGGAATATCTACAGAGATGAAGGGTTTCTTAAATTTTTTACCAAGGGACTTCGCCCCAGATTGCTGCAAAACATTATATTTTCATTCCAAGCCACACTAGTGTATGATTCTGTAAAACAGTTCTGCTTAAAGGAAAAATATAAGTCAAAAGTTTCATGGTGACCATAAAATAGTTGTGGGCAATATAGCAGACAAAATTAAAACAGCTAGATTACATTTTCTGTGATCTTTTTTTAATTATTTTTTAAAACATGTTTTATATAATTGTATTGTTGAGATTATTTCTATATTTGTATCTATTTATTGAATTGTGACACTGAGGTTTTGGAGGATTATTTTACTTTGTTCTTAGTTGTTTGTTTAATAAAACTGAAATCACGAGAGATATTATTTACTTTGGGGAATGGTTTTATAATTTGACGATGCTCTTTTACCGAAGATTTGTTTAAAACCTACATGTTTATGTACATTCTAGGAAAGACCTCAAATTTATTTTGGGGCTTTATTTCAAGACAAGGCTACACACAGAGATGTAAACTCAAAATAAAGGTACCAATTTAAGGTAATTATTCAGAGATTACAGAGCTCACCTCAACAAATGTTGTAAGATAAACTCCAACAAGTTGCACATGTCCCACAATAAATTCATAATCTAGCAGTGATCATCCTTAGATGAATCATTCATACAAGTTTTGCTTCAGTTATGTCTTAAAAGTTCCTTGTGAATGGAGCTGCTTTAAACTTCTATTTTGGTCATCCATCCGGAAAATGTTGGTCAAAGTGTGCAAACATAGATGTATCATCCATGCAAGTTTTGTCTAATAGCACAAATAAATACTTTAGAATGAAACTGCTCCAAAAACTTTCCCCAGGTCAACTATATCTGGAAGATGTAGGTCAGATCCAGCATCTGAAGCATGTGTTGTAGTTTGCATCCTCAGGGCTCTTAATTAGCAACTAATTTAGTTGCCAAATTGAAGACCATTTTAAATTGACTTGGCTATCATCGAATTCCAGAATTTGTTTGTTTATACATTTTTAGCAATTTATATTTTTTCTGAAGAAGCGAAAAGAAATTTTTACAAAAAGAGGAATTCTTTTTTAGCAATGGACATGTGTTTTCTTCAGGTCACCTATTTGTGTTTTAGTAATCACCCCTATATTGTTTAATACATGCATTTAAATAACTTAAAAATTGTATGGCGACTTAAAAAATTGCATTTGTGACTGATTTTTTTTTATTATATAGGCACAAGCTGATGCCCAAATTTAAGAGCTTACTTAGAAACTTGATCCTCAGCTTATCTTCTTGCAAGTATTGTCATGGTAGGTCTTCTTGTTACTTGGGAGAGATCTGCTCCGAAATCTTTAACCTGGTTACTCATCTAGAAAATGTTTGTCAAATCCAGCATTTGAAGCAAGTCCAGTAGTGTAAATTCTTAGATGTAAGGGGACTTAACTTTCAATGAACCTGTTATTTAAAAAAAGTCTGCAAAAAAAGGGGGCAGCCCCCCATCCGCCCCCGCCTCCTCCCCTCTGATAATATGTGACTGCTAGTGTTTCATAAATGAAACCATTTTATTCTAGCTTGTCTTAAAATAAAATTCTATGATTTCATCAAAAATAACAAGGTCACATTAGTCCGAAACATGTATTTGAAGGCTTTTGACATAATGACATTCACTTTATAATACACAGTAAAATACGTGTTTGCCAGGGAATTCTTATCATGCCCCCATAATCGAAGAATCAGGGGTATAAAGGTTTTGTCGTTTCCATCCGTCTGTTTGTCTGCAAAAACTTTAACCTTGCTCATAACTTTTGATTTAGTAGAACTATGACTTTCATATTTCAAATGTGTGTTCCTTACTACTAGATCTTTCTTTGGGTACCATCAAATTTGACCTTGACCTTGGAGTTTGACACACTTTTAAACTTGTACTTTGGCCGTAACTTTTGAATAGAAAGGGCTAGGGCTTTTATACTTTCCATATGTGTACTTTGTGACAAGACCTTTCATTGGATACCAACATCTTTGACCTTTTGACCTTGGAGATTAATGTACTTTAAAAACTTTGAACCTCGGCCATAACTTTTGAACAGTAAGGGCTAGGGCCTTTCATACTATTATTATACCTTGACTAATCCTTGTGAGAAGACCTTTCATTGGATACCAACATCTTTGACCTTGAACTTGGAGTTTGACCTACTTTTTAAACCAGAAGTCTCTGTCGAGACTGTAGCTCTACTGGTTTGTACTTATCAAAAACCATTGCACTATTTTATGTATCTTTGTGTAGTCTACTTGTGTGCCAACTTATTTTGAAATCAGACAAAAACTGTAGAAGGAGTAGCGTTTTTATGGAATTCCACAGAAAATTCTATTTTGAGTAACCATAGCAATACCGTTCATCGAAATCAAAAACCAATGCACTATTCTATGTATCTTAGTGTAGTCTACTTGTGTGCCAAGTTATATTGAAATCAGACCAAAACTGTAGAAGGAGTAGCGTTTTAAAGGAATTTCACAGAAAATTCTATTTTTAGTAACCATGGCAACACCGTTCATCTAAATCAAAAACCGACGCACTATTCTATGTATCTTAGTGTAGTCTACTCGTGTGCCAAGTTATACTGAAATCAGACAAAAACTGTAGAAGGAGTAGCGTTTTTAAGGAATTTTACAGAAAATTCTATTTTTAGTAACCATGGCAACAGCATTTATCGAAATCAAAAACCGATGCACTATTCTATGTATCTTAGTGTAGTCTACTTGTCTGCCAAGTTATATTGAAATCAGACCAAAACTGTAGAAGGAGTAGCGTTTTTAAGGAATTTCACAGAAAATTCTATTTTTAGTAACCATGGCAACACCGTTCATCGAAATCAAAAATCGATGCACTATTCTATGTATCTTAGTGTAGTCTACTTGTGTGCCAAGTTATATTGAAATCAGACCAAAACTGTAGAAGGAGTAGCGTTTTTAAGGAATTTCACAGAAAATTCTATTTTTAGTAACCATGGCAACACCGTTCATCGAAATCAAAAACCGATGCACTATTCTATGTATCTAAGTGTAGTCTACTTGTGTACCAAGTTATACTGAAATCAGACAAAAACTGTAGAAGGAGTAGCGTTTTTAAGGAATTTCACAGAAAATTCTATTTTTAATAACCATGGCAACACCGTTCATCGAAATCAAAAACCAATGCACTATTCTATGTATCTTAGTGTAGTCTACTTGTGTGCCAAGTTATATTGAAATCAGACAAAAACTGTAGAAGGAGTAGCGTTTTAAAGGAATTTCACAGAAAATTCTATTTTTAGTAACCATGGCAACACCGTTCATCGAAATCAAAAACCGATGCACTATTCTATGTATCTTAGTGTAGTCTACTTGTGTGCCAAGTTATACTGAAATCAGACAAAAACTATACAAGGAGTAGCGTTTTAAAGGAATTTCACAGAAAATTCTATTTTTAGTAACCATGGCAACACCGTTCATCGAAATCAAAAATCGATGCACTATTCTATGTATCTAAGTGTAGTCTACTTGTGTGCCAAGTTATATTGAAATCAGACCAAAACTGTAGAAGGAGTAGCGTTTTAAACGAATTTCACAGAAAATTCTATTTTTAGTAACCATGGCAACACCGTTCATCGAAATCAAAAACCGATGCACTATTCTATGTATCTTAGTGTAGTCTACTTGTGTGCCAAGTTATACTGAAATCAAACTAAAATTGTAGGAGGAGTAGCGTTTTGAAAAATTGTTTACAGACGGACAGACAGACAGACGGACGGACGCCGGACGCATTACTTAAGAAATAAACAACGTTATTCAGTGAACATGGCGTTATGAATAGCAATTGCTCTGCTGGCATATTCCATGATGCGCGCTAGCGCATCATGGAAAATATGCCAGCAGAGCTATTGCTATTCATAATGCCATGTTCACTGAATAATCGTTGTTTATTACTTATATTTGCATTCTTTGATTTTTTTCAAGAATATCAGAGGAAATCCTGACTTACATAAGGACGCAGCTTGTCTTCAGTAAAGAAAAACATACGGCTTTAAAATCAGTACACCTAGCTGATCAGTGCTCCTTTTCTCTAATAAATCACAAACAATTTATAAAGTATTTCCCTCTCAAACACAGTTATCTGGATACAAGCAGCGCCGTCATAACATTTTTGTTTTGATGCGTGACGTCATCGATCAACGTTATTGAAACCCTCTGACAAAAATCAATAATTTAATACTATGATGAAAAATGAGAATGCTTTTATAATGATTATTACTCCAGAATGCTTTTCTATGATTTTTCTTTTTAGTTTTTCTATTTATTTTTAATAGCTGAAATCATTCTTGAAATAGATATATACTAGTTAAAGAAATTTTCTCTTTCTGAATGTTTTTACCCAAGTGTGAAGAGTTATCGTTCTTTGTATAAAAATGCATGATTCGAAAAAATTAAAATATGGCAGTTCTCTAAAATTTTAAAAAGTTTTATTATACAATTAAATACATTGACCAAAATTGAATTTTTAAAGATATAAATCAGCAATTTTAGATATTCCGAATTTCGTTTTTTTTCAAAGAATATTATTAAAAACTTTTATTTACTCCTCTTTCGAAACATTTCATATATATACTTCTCAACATGATACTTCACCGTAGTCGAGATTGTTCTACACGAATCGGACAGAGCAATTGCACTATTAACAAGAGCAGTTGCGTCTATAGTCCTATGAACGCAGTCGATGACTACATGTTCATAGTGGGGGAGAGCAGTGAATATGCAAATATTATCGCATAAGCTCTTCTGGTCTCTGACCAGTAGAGCTATAAACAAACCTGACAATAACTTTTGATTGGTTATAGGCTTGGGCTTTCTTACTTCACATATAAATTCATGTGACAAGACCTTTTATTCGATACCAAGAACTTTTATCTTTTGACCTTGGATTTTGACCTACTTTTAAAAAACTTCAACCTTGGCCATGACTTTTGAATGGTTAGGACTAGGACTTTCATTCACCACATATATAATCCTTGAGATAAGACCTTTCTTTAGAAACCAGCAACTTTGACCCTTTGATCTTGACCCTGGATTTTGACCTACCTTTCAAAAATTTACCCTTGGCCCTAACTTTTGAACAGAAGGTGCTAGGGCTTTCATATTTCACAACTGTGTTTCTTACTTTGAGTACCAACATATTTAATTTTCATCAGTGTTTCACAAACACATCTTGTTTTTAGAGAATAAAAATATCAGATAGTCTCTTTTTATATTTTACTTTTCCTTTTTTTTTTTTTTAATTTTCATTACACAAGAGCAACCAAACATAACAATGTCTATGAATTCAGCACAGCTACCTCCCAGAAAAATTATATTCAGAGTTATGCAATGCTGATATATAAGTTGCATTTACATGTAAATACAGATAATACTACAAAATCTGATTAAAAAGCAGTGAAAACAAGTTTTTTGAACAATACAAATCAACTAGAACCTTTATGATTGGATGATCTTCCAATGACTATGACATCACAATATACAATAAGTTTCATCATAGACATGAGTACAGGAAATTGTCAACAGCAATTAACAGTTCAAGGGGGCAAACTCTGTACATTACATAAATTACTATAAATACTGATATACAACTATAATCAATATTTTTCAATTTGCATTTAAATGACAAGGCCAAATCCACTCTACAAACACTAAAAGTCATTTTCACATTCATACAAAATCTATTGTGTACGTAATTGATAGAAAAAAGTAAAATTAACCACTAGTTGTTTGTATGATAATGAAACATGACCAATGAGCCATACTGCTCACTTGAGTTATATTCACCTTAACTTGGATTTAAAAAGTTTCCTCTATATTTTCATGGATAATAAATAATCGCTCCCATAAAAATACCCCACTATACATTACAAGAGGGCTGTGGAGCAATTATTTTGGGGTTTTGACAATTTTTTCATATTGTACACATAATGAATAAGTGTAATAAATATAATTGAAAAAAAATGTCCAATAAGCCCGGGGGTTGGATATCGAAGGGGGGGGGGGGGTCCTGTCCACAAGTACTTGTGATCATAATAATATTAAATACAAGGAATAGAAGCCTTGAAAAGGTTTGACAATTTTTTAGGAAATAAACCACGATTTTAACTTTCTACATGGGAATTCTCATGTTTAATATTGAAATTCTTGAGTTTTCAAAAAAAAAAATTAATGAAAAAAAAAGAAGAAAAATAATGCAATTTATGTTAGGACATGTAGAATGTAGTTGTAAACATGAATGTCATGCCTCTATTATTACTGGTGATGGGATGTATGTAGTGAGCATCAGGCCTTTTGACGTACATGGAGAGTCAAAAAAAGATCTTTACCAGTCTTGATACATATTTTTTCTAGAATTAAACAGGGCTTAATAAGGCCAATTGTGAACAGTGGCTAAAGGCTCTTGCAAGAAAAAAAAGAGGGACACAATAGCTTCAATGCATATCACCAGGAACAAAATTTTCTTACCTCAAAACAGAACAATGTCAAATACAAATGTACAAGTAGTACATCATTAAACACAATGATATGTCAGAACACAAACATGGGAATTTAAATTAAAAAAGCCCCACTAGACATGTAATAAGATACATGACTCTCCCATCCCTTTTGACTGAGGAAAAAAGATTATCACAGAGCTTTGGATAAAGTATAATAACAGTTCACATGTATTAGTTGTCAAAGAAACAACATGTCAAATAACATTTGTCCAATGTCGCACTAGTTCCATAAGTACAATTAAAACACAAAACACTTTTTCCTACTTCTGGTTTACAAATGAAATTTCATTGTTCTATTTGTGTTTAAAATGAAATTCATGTCCTCTCCAATCGATTTTAAAATTTTCAAAAAAGTTTCACTACCACGGGTAAATACACGTATCATCACTTCCAAATCTTATTTAGAGCTAACAAATAAATAAATTTAACAATCCCACCTGCCTGTTTTGACTGGTTGAGACCAATGAAAAACTTGAGAGCCAGAATAGTGCATGCGTCTATGTATCTGCTTGTGCAGACTGAGTTGGGAGATTTTTTTATAGGTGTGGGCAATGTAATCAATTGAGAAATATATGTTCAACATAAGTTTCAAACAGTATTTTGGAGGCAACATTTCAAAAATGTTTAAATCCTTATGGAACTTGTGTAGTTCAAGAATCAGGTAGGCTAAATGTAAGTATGTAAACTGAGACAATAATGCTGAGCAACTCTAATAAAATCGTGTAATGAGGCCAAAGTCAGTTTTCTTCGTATACAAATTTTAACAGCACTTCCTTAAGTATAATGTCTATGTTACATGTATATAGATAAAACTACTTGCAACATTGTCTCTGGAACTGTTTAAGAAATAGAAAATCCCACAACATGACATCTTGCTACATTTGCAAATTATGCGATTGAGTAGTGTTGAGCAACTGAAAATCATTAATCATTACAAACAAAGCAATACGTGTACAACATCTTGTAACCTTGTTACAATGGCACAAGTTATTTTCAATGATTACACAGTGAACACATTTAAGGCAGCCAAACTGCTACAAGAGTTGCTGAAGTTGATAAAGATCCTTATGCATCTGTTTCTTATGAAGTTGATAAGACAATTATTCCCTCAAATTGTTCAATTTCTAAGCATAAACAACATTATACCTGGATCAAAGTAATAGACTTCATATAAATACTGAAATGTTACAAAGTAAATTAGATGTGTCAGTCTGACTCAATTGCTCCTTACCCATGTGCACATGCAAGTTTGAAATATGCAGAACTCCAAGTGCATGAAAATAACAATGAAAGGAAATGGCACAAAATTATATATTGAACTGATCTTTTTTATTTTGGGAATCAGTTCTCTATGCCCTCACACCTTACAGCAGTGAGAAATCTTACAAGAAGAGCACGCTAAAAATCCCAAAACAAAGGTGTATCTAGAAAATTTAAGAAGCCAAGGATCATTATCTTTTTAAAAGTTTCAATCTACAAGAACTACATTTGTCAATGATCTGAAAGTTATCAATATAAAAAGACAAACAAAAGATATTCTCTTTATCTACAAGCACAGGAAACAAGTACAGAAAACTGAACTGTTAGAAATTTTCAAATTCCAAGGGCCATACTTTCATAAAATGAGTCAAGTAACACAAATCTTAAAGTCTTCAACATCAAGAAACACACCAAAAATCACCTCATTATCAACAATCCTAGCAAAAAAAAAACCAAACCCTTTTAAAACAGTTACATTTTAGAATTTTTCAAAGTTTCTAAAGGCAAGATTTTTTATAAAAATTAGTTAATCTACAAGAAACTTGAACTTGATCTGTTAGACATCAATAACAAGAAACATACCTGGTACCACAAAAAAATCAGTGTATCATCTACAAGCAACGTAAAAGAGAAGTCTAGAAAATGGTAATTTTTAGAAATTTTCAAAGTGTCAAGGCCATTACAAATGAGGAAGCTGTGGTTAGGGTGACCCATGAAATCCAGAACATCAGTCCCCCACAAACAATGATGATTCCACAGTAATGTCAAATCTTGTCGTATGTGATCTAAGGGAGAGTACCAGTCCCCATACATCATGTATTAAAAACAAATTGAAATAACTGAAATCATTGCACTTTTATCCACATTAAATTAAAACGGCAAGAAAGGTTTGTCAGTTGGTGATACTGTACAATCAATTATTTTCCTTGAGTTAAATTTTGTGTATGAGGAAAAAACGGATCATGGTTTGATTTTGGAAGAGGGTAAAAAATTGATACTATAATTTACAATTTTGTGCATGACCTAAACATGTGATTTTCTTCATATCACAAAAACAAAAATGAAACTTTCAGGAATGGTTTCACAATACAGTAATTATTATCTGATCCATCTCATTTTTTTTTTAATTTTAATTATAATCAAAATTTTGTGTGGTTGATAGCTTCATACAATGTCACATGCTTGCACTCAGACACCCTGTTGCTGTCCCAAGAATAACCCTTGATGACATTAATAGCCATAAAGTATAGCCCCTGACCACTGTTAACTGCCAGTTAAGTATATGCCTGACTTTGTAGTTTACAAATTTTGGTCTTTTATCTTTGATATTCATGCTGTGAGGGAATCTAAGGTCTTATCACTGTCCAGATCATTCTTGACAAGTTCTTCTTTGATTCTGTCATCAAGGAATCCCAGCTCCTGGAACTGCTTGAACAATGCTAGAAACCTCTCAATCTGAAATAAAATGAAAATCAGTTTAAAGAAATGAAAGGAACAAAACATGAATATTGTTGTACAGTTATGACATCCCTTGCAAGAGGGAATACTAAAGCTGTATCTAGAGAGATAAGATGAATACTGTGTAAGAATCATTCATATGTATGACTGTTGGAGATGAATTCTTCCTAACCAGGGGCAAAAAGTATAAAGAGGATATTCCATGTTTTGTAGTTTGACATTTATCTATTTCAGGAGTGTCACAATTTTTTAAAAACATTTCCATTAATGCAAAGCAAGATTAAAATTTCCTGTCTCATGAGTGATGTATGAAAATACACATATGGATGCAATCAATGCCCCCCCAAAAAAGTAATAAGATGACAATGAACAACATACTCTAATAACTTTTTGAGAGACAAACCTTTTCCTGGTTATTTTTGAACAGAAGAAGAGCTTCTTCCACTCTGTGAAATTCGTGTCCTTTGTCCGTAAATTTTCCAACCACACAAAGGTACTCAATGACCTAGTAAATTAATAAAGATATCTCAATAATGATTTACCATTACATAAAGAGAATATTTACTGAAGTAGCAAATAGTCATTCTTTGAAGCGATATCAAAATAAAATGAATTTACAGAAACATTTCAAAAATTGAATGTTAGGGTGTTCTTGTTCTACCTCTTTCTCATCTGCACCAAGTTTTTCTACTGCCCGGGCGGCACAAGCTTTCGAAAAGCCCATTCCAACAACATTATCAACAATTCTCCTGGAATCTTGTGGTAAATTATTGTACGGGTCAACATTTACAACCATCTTTAAATCTGTTGTACTTCCTGTTTGTAATCCCGGCTGAGCTGGCTGAGGTAATGTGGAATAGCGGTTCCAGGACTGCAACAAAAAAATCATCATTGAGTCACCAGACAACAAGTTAAAAAACAAACATAATTTTTAAAAATGGTACTGGTTATGGTTCCTAAATAAAAGAAACTACTTTACAGGGGAAAAATATGTTATAAAACTATATGAAGCAAACTTTCATTTCACTAAGATATAATATTATCAACATGAAGCAGGCAAATCTATTAAACTGATGGATTTGTCTCCTCTTCAATTCTTAAGAACCAGCTGACTCTTTCACAAAGTACCTTGCAACTTAGTCACTAAGAACAGATGTTACAAATCACGAAGATATAGCAGATAGATCACAAAAAACTATCACAATACATAATTATTACATTAGATTTACATGTATTGTGAATTTTTCTTTAAAAGAAATGAGGTGCTTTGATTATTTTTAATAAACAAATTAAAAAGTAAACAGTTGTCAATTATTTATGACAGTTAAAGTTGTTACATGAAAAAATTTACAGCTAAAAGCTCAGTGTAACTATACAATTACCCTGTACTGCACTTGCCTGGATCTCCTTGTCCTATCTGACCCTTAATTCAATAAAGGGACAAAACAATTGATTTTTTTATGTCCACTAGTCAAAGATTCGAGGGCTTCTAGTTTTTGCCCTGTCTGTCGTTCTGTCTGTTTGTCAAAAAATACTTTAACCTTCCCATAACTTTTAAGTTGGTGGGGCTATGGCATTCAAAGTCAAGTACAAAATCTTTATTAACATGCTGGATCTACAATGGGGAATTGGAACCCTTCCTCCCTCAAATTTGCAGAGTTATAAAATGTACATACCAAAGTTATTGAAAATGACTTTGGCTCCCTAGAAAACACAGACCTCTGTCAACAATGGTTAATAAGGTAGAAAAAGTCAGTCATGTGTACGAAGCTTAAGAAGTGGAAGTATGTTGCTGCATGTATTTTTGCTGTTTTTTTCTATCACAGACATTATTGAGTATTGACTGAATACTTACAAAACAGGATTATGAGGTGAAACAATGCATGCATGGGGAAGTTATAATTTTTGTATTACATTAGTCAATAGGAATGGCAAGGAAAAAAGTTCCTGTTAAATCCAGTGACTACAAGTACATGCAATGCAACACAAAGACAGTACTATAGAATGATTACAACAGGAAGTGGGGGTTATGGGGATGCTTCATACTTACTGCTTGTGAATTTCCTTGTGGATCCTGTTAAAAAGGTACAATGCAATGTTTACATGAAAGACACAGGGTCTATATATACATTACACAACACTCAATTTTTGACACAAAGTGGTTACTGTTTAAGCTCTACTTTGAATGAAAAGCTAGTATATGATTTACTGAATAATGAAATTTGATACATGTACATGTATAGAGCAGTGTTACATTCTTTCAACCAAATACATGAAAAAAGACACAAAAGTGAAACAATTCATTATTTAAACCACAACAAGGGGATACATGTAAAAACAAAGAATTTAAGTGTTAGAGAAACCAGGTTAATCAAAATGGTTTCATCACTCACTGAACATCAAGCATATGTTAAACTGATTTTACCTGTTTGGAGGAGGGTCTTGGAGGGGGTGAGATTGTGAGAGGGAGGGGTAAATCTTGACTCGGGTTATTTGATGGATCTGGTAAACTATTGGTCATCCCAGGCTGAGGAACCCCGAACGGTTTAACAGGAGCCACGTTTACATATGCTTTAGAGTTTTTAGATGCTGTCTCCTTTGACGGTTGATTTGTAGGTAGGAATGGATTAGTACTTTGTGATGAGCCATCAGTATCATTAACAAGGCCAAAACTTGGCGCCTTTGAAAAACTAACAGACTGTTGATCACTCATGACACTCACATTTTCATAAGTTTTCGATTGGAATTCACTTTTGCACATAGGTTTTTCATGAGTTCCATCAGGTACATCTTGCTCAAAGGAATTTGTTGATTTTGCGGTGCCACTAATTGCTGGACCACCAATGGGTGGCAGGGGGTTCTTGGCAGCCAGGCTTGGTCGTGGAGGAACTGGGGGTATGATTTTGCCCTTGTAAGTCTTTTGCTTTCTAACTATTTTATTTTTGACATTTCCACTGGGTCGTTCTGGCTTCTTTGTTACATCCAACTCAACATAATCCCCTCCATCCACTTTGTTAGTCACTGAATTTTTAGAGGAGCTTGACGTCACAACACCATTGGGAGGATTGTTCAAAATCTTTGTGTTTTCATACACAGTTTCTGGTTTCTTTGCCCCTCCACTTGTTTCTTTTGCACTACCACTATTGTCAAACACACTTTTCAACTCAGTTAAGTCATTCAGAGTCAACCTCTCAAATCGATCAAAGGGATCATCCTCTTTTTCAAACAATGAAAAATCCACAGGTTTCTGTGGATCAGAATCATTTTGGTTGGTTGAGTCATTTTGACTTGAGACATCTACAGGTGTCAGTATGTCGTTAGAAATAGCTGGCAGTACAGGCCTGGCTGGAGCCTGTGCCACTGCTACAGCTGGAGAGGTGGCCTTGTTGTTTTCCCACCCATCGTTCTCATACTCATGGTCTGATTGATCAGAATCACAGCTTTTATCCTCAGCCTCCAGCTGGGCTCTCACTCTACGTTCTTCCTCTGCTCGTTGCTGAGCAGCCAGTTGCTTTTGTCTCTCATTGGCCCATTTCAGGACTCCCTCCTCCAAGGAAAAGTCATACTGAAAAAGATACAGCAAAATATCAAAAAACAAATAGTACAGCCAACTAGCAGAAGTACTTGTATCTCTTAATGCTAAGTCCTTTTACAATACTTTTGAATTAAATTCAATTTGTTGCATTAGGATATGAAACTTAAGATGATTTTAGCACTATACAACACTAAGGGTATCCGCTTTTCATTCATTTAGGTATACTTAGTCTTTTACATTATAAACTAATATTTATTGAGATTAACCAATACCTCTTCCTCCACTGCATGTGTTCTCAAACTCTTTAAATCTCTTGGGCTGATAATCTGAAATAGGTAAAATACCATTAGATCTTTCATAAGAACATGACAATCACTTCACTCACCTGAGCCACTAGTAGTCTTTCTGCTCTTAAACAGCAGAATTCCCCAATACATTCCTACATAAAACTGTTGTGACCCAATCCTAACCCAATGAGTCATATTTAAAAAAAAAACAACTTGAATCTAAACTTTCTATTAAAGATGCTTCAATATTACCATAACACACAAAAGAAACCTCAATAGCCTTCTTCCAAGAATTCTCTGAGCTAAGTTTGGTTGAAATTTACCTAGTTATTATGGAGAGAAGACGATATTGTGTAAAGTTTACGAAAATGCCAGTGAAAGTGACACTGAGGACAGACAATGGACAATTCTATTATAAAAGCTCACTTGAACCTCAAGTAAGGTTTTTCAAGTAGTTGGATATGTATATATGTGTATGAAATTAAGGCTTTAGCACATCAAGCAATGCAATAGGTTGCTGGCAAACTGAGATATCAAGATGAAGCTCCCAGAAGACCAAAAAATCGGAGAAAAAATTACATATACATCAAAGCTAAACCTTTCATAAAAAGTTTCACATTTTTAACTCGGACATGAAAAGTGATGAAATAATATGATGCGTGATGTTATGTCACAGTCTGGACCAAACGTGTCCAACCAGTGGTCAATTATTACGATTTTTTTTATAGTATCTATTTATAAGTACAGCTACACTCTTCCCAGTGGTCACACCATCAAAAACACTGTTTTTATTATAAATAAATAGAATTCTGTAAGTTTGTTTTGTATTTGTAATATTCAAAAATTAAATTCCCCTTTACGACTTTTGTTGATTACATATTCCAACAAAAGACCATACAATGGAATAAATGATTATATCGGTATGTCTTACTACTGAGAATAAATCAATAAAGGGCTTTACACACATACAACATGTGCACTATACCATGTATACCTAGCCTCTATTTAATTCTGAACAGTCTTTCACAGTGAAATCTCAGTACATGTAAACATATGTTTCAGTACACTAGTTTTGAGTATACATGTATCATATACTTAAGACTAATTATCTACCATATTAATGTATCAAATTTCCTTATCTGTAACAGAAAGTGAAAATGGTTCTTCCTTATATGTTTGTGAAATTGTACATCTTAATTTCAAACTATTCATTACATACACACATATATATTCATCTTTCCAAAATCTTAAAAAATTCTTGATGATATTTTTTTTTACCTTGTGTTTCTGTGTAAATTTTGGTCCAATTTTAAATGGTACGCCATCCAAACTTGAGTGACTGGAACTATATGCTACAACATATATGTCAACACATTATTAAAATACATCTATCTATATGACGTCCATGTAGAAAGCAAAACATCAATTTAAAAAATCCTCCAAATTCTATTACATTAATGTGCATGTGCTTTTAATATTTTAGGTAAAAAAAAGAGAACCTATAACTGAATCAGAATACGTACCAACACTGTCTTGTCTTTGAAAATTTCTGTCCATTCTTTAGATCAGCATCTGATAAGAATCAATATTTATCTTTTGATTAAAATTGAATTTAAAGTATTCTTAAAATACAAATCTGAAATCAAACATCATTTTCTCAAACTCATGGGACCTATCTTCAAGGATTGGAGATATTGAGGGTAAAATATTAAAAGAAAAAGTGCTTGAGACTTTTCATTCACTTTGACATAACCATGGTATTCAAGATATCAGTGTTTTTGAAACAGATATTCAGCTGTTCACAGTTATATGACATAGTTTTATTTTTCATTTAAAGCCTTATAAATTAAATTAAAGCTTTATAAATTCATTTAAATGATGGAAAGGACATTCGTGAATAGGTTTGGCAAATCAAAATTAAGCCTAAAGGATTTCACTCACAGGCACTAATGATTCTGAAATAATTTTTTAACCCACAGTATAATAATAACTCAAGGTATCCAACTCCAAATTACACTAGGTACACCACTCTCTAGAATCACACTCATTTACACTTTCAGAGAAAATGTTGGGTTTAACTGTTTACACTATTGTCTTCTATGATAATATATCTACACAACCAAAAATGGTATGTTTGTCTTTATTTTCTTTACAGCATCAAAACTCTTTTCGCCAAGTGGAAAAGTCAAATTACCCAATGAAATGAAAAGTTTTGAATCTATTACAGAAGCATGCAAGTGCCTGTGATTTCACTTACTGTTTTATCATAAGCACAAATCTGAAGATATTTCTAACCAGTTTTATCTCTTTGTCTACTTATTTTTAGCTTAACTGATCTAATAACAAATTTATCTAAATATAGCTGTATTAATCATAAAAAGAAGTGATTACACATGTTACAGATTGCTTATGATTACAAAACAAACTGTAATCAATTACAGTGGATTACTACGTCAATCATCCCATCCGTGATCAGCAAAGATGTAGAATGATTCCATAAATACTATAAACTATTTAATACTTATATACATAAATAAAAATAAATAAAGAACTAAAATACAAAAATGATACCAAGAGATATAAAAACATGATTTGATTTAAAATGTATAGTGATTCATATTAAAGAATTGGTTTGAACAGGAGGCATGGATGCCTATGATTATTCTCTACATAGATCAAGGCACAATTACATGTACATTTAAACACTGATTAAAAGGTATGAAGAGTATATTATCAATTGGCACATATTTAGACTAAATCAGTAAATCTGAAATGTTTTGAAGCAAATACTGGTATTGAATATTATTGTAATACACAGTATTCCTGATCATGTATTTTATCTTATAACCAGTAATAACATTAGGCTCACTTTGACTTCAGTTCAACAGAAATATTTTTTTCTCTTCTACTGTGATACACAAATCATTACAACGTATATAGCTATTTATGTTCATTTGCCTTATTTAAAACTTCTTTCCAATAGATAAGTTGACTCACTTCATTTGTTGATACAAACCTTTTTTGCTACTTTAAATAAGTACGATAACAAAGCTGATTTATGGCCAAATGGCATCAAATGAATTAACTGATTATATTTCCTATATATTTTTCTGCCATGTTCGTGATGTCATTGGTTACAGACTACTAATTTTACCCCTATTTCATTGACCACTCAAGTAGTTCCAGTTTAAAAATAGAGGTTTTTTCTTAAAAATTCTATGGGGTGTTTATGGGGTGGACTGATGTTATTTTTGGGTATAGATGGAAAGAAGAGGGTTTGAAAAAAATATAAAATTGTTAATATGTGAAATTTTGCACTTAAGCGCGTAGTAGTAAGGGTGTAAAGAGGCCCATATTTACCCTTTCCCCGAAGAGAAAGTGAAAAAAGCAGGGTAGGGGTTATTTGCGATGCCTTAGCAGGAACTGCATGCGATGAATTTTCCTGAGAGTCTGAAAAATTTTTGGACTTGAATTCTTCTTACTCTGTGCCAAGTTTCAGGTAAGTTGAGCTGGTGTAATTTTTTTAATCATTTTTTATAGTATAAAGGAATGTATAGCAAAATAATTGGTAGTCTGTGTCCTATGAGGTCAGAGGTCAAATCTCACGTTAATCAATTTATTGGCACTTTTTGGATAATTTGGAACTAATTATGCAAATTGTTGACAAATTTAATTGAAAAAATTGAATTTTGGAGAAGTTAAATGGATTTAGAAAATTGAAAAGGGGGAGGGGGGCACCTGCTCAGGTTGTCAAATGATATGACGTAATGTGTGCAATTTATGTGTGTCAAGAATTTATGCAATATGAATTTTGATTCTATATATAATGTTGTAGGTGACATAAAACCCATTCCTCGCCTATCCTGTTATTTTAAATGCCAAATGGAGTTCAAAAACCAAGGTATGTTTTAATCATTTGATTGTTCAGATTACACTGTTGTTAATAGGAAAGAAATGCCTAATTTCTCAAAACTTTGGCTACTTGGTGTCTGTAATTATAGTTGACACAGTTACTTATTAATTTGACACAATTACTTATTAATTATGAATGTAAACTAAAGTTCAAATTCTTAATAAAGCATTTTTTTCAGTGGCTCATTTCTAGCTGACTGATGTGGGATTGCAAGCAGTTATAGCCTGGATAGGTGGTTATATAAAATATCAGGCCAGTTGCCAGTCAGAAGTGAACAATTTTGTACCAGTAGCAGAGACAATGATCATTCAGAAAACAAGATACAGCTGTCAACAATATTACAGTCCACAACAGCCAAATTAAAGGTATGTAGTCAACGACTCTTAAGTTTGTATTATTTTTTGTGTTCTTTTTTACACTGTTTTCATCTGCCATCATCATCTCTTGCCAATCAATGTGTACTCTCTGAAACTTTCTCTTTTTCCTTCTTCTTTTGGAATTAAATATCTGCTGTCTGATTGCTGGCACTGATCTGTGATTGTCCAAGAAAGGGGATGTCAGTAAGGTGCTCAACATTTCATATGGGATGTTTGGTCCTACTGACTTCTTCTACTCTTGTGGCATCTTGGACATCATTGTCGGTGGTTGCATATCAGACAAAATCATCAGCTTTTGACAAGGAAATGTGTTTTCAAGATTTTGGATAAACACTGTGCAGAAATAGTGCTCCACAGGTAAGACAGAATTTATGTACTCCATTTTAATAGAACCTTCTCTACACCCCCCCCCCCCCCCTTGTTCTTAAAAGTCAACTTCCAAGCAACTCCAGGAGTGATTATAAGTGACACAGGCATTGTATGACTATGTATTTTCTATGCTGAACCATTGAAAGTATATAGACATGCTTTTAAATCATTTTGTTTTTTTGGTACCTTTACAGTGCAGAGTTGCCTCCCCTTTTTCTACAGCAGCCTGAAGAATGTATGTAGGTAAAATGCATATATAAATTTCTTTTCTTGAAAATTCAGAATTATAAAATCCAAAATTTCACAGAATTTTTGGTATTTATTATCTAGTAATGCATATTGTTACAAGAATTACCCATTAAATATGACCAGGGATAATCCAATTAGAGTAGTAAGTACCACTTCCTGACAGAGGCTGAATTGACCAGGTTGGATAATCAGCTTATAACAAAGGTATTAATCTCTTTCTCTTAACTTTTATACTTATTTTTTATAGCCTATATATTGTAGAATTTTTTAATATTTGTTTTACTAAAATTAAAATGTGCTAAATATTTTCATTTTTAATATTTCTAAGAATTTTATGCTTCTTGAAGGTATTTTCTTGAAAAATTGTTTAAAATAATTATGCAATAGGTTAAGTTTTGTTCTTGAAATTTGTGTAGGACATATTTATCTAGTATACAAAAATATAAGGAAAGAAAATAACTGTCATCTATGTGAGCTGTGAGCATTTCAAACACTGTGTGCCTAATGCTCATTTTACCCTCTGATTTAAGGTGTTCCAGCACATCAAGTAAAGGGCCATAACTCTGCTTAGGAATCATCAATTTCAATGAAACTTCACCGGCCATTTTGTATATACAAAAGACTCCAGCATGTCAAATTTCAGCACAATCAGACAAGGTTTGTGTCCTTATTAGGTTACAGACTACTAATTTTATTTCATTGACCACTCAAGTAGTTCCAGTTTAAAAATAGAGGTAAAAATTCTATGGGGTGTTTATGGGGTGGACTGATGTTATTTTTGGGTATAGATGGAAAGAAGAGGGTTTGAAAAAAATATAAAATTGTTAATATGTGAAATTTTGCACTTGCCGTAGTAGTTATACCCTTTCCCCGAAGAGAAAGTGAAAAAAGCAGGGTAGGGGTTATTTGCGATCTCTCTCTCTCTCTCTCTCTCTCTCTCTCTCTCTGGTGTAATTTTTTTAATCATTTTTTATTTAAAGGAAATAGCAAAATAATTGGTAGTCTGTGTTTATTAGCTGCGCAAAAGGGAGATCACTCTCAAGTCCAAAAACGGAATACCGATTATCAAAATAAACTTGATAAACGTACTCATTTTTCAAATCTTTCAAACTAATGAGAAAAAAAAATCCAATAACCACCGATTTTTAACTGTAAAATGTAATATTCAAGCTTTTTCCCTTTTTAATGTGATATTTTCAGGCTTAATTCCACAACCCCCCCTTAAAAAATTACAATATTGCAGCTACAATTTTGGGAGTTTTAACATTTCATATCCCTTCTATCTTACATGCAATTATCCATTCAACCACAAAACAAGATAAAAATAAAAATTGAATAAATAAATGAGTAAATAAATAAAATTTATTTATAATAATGTCGAATTCTATGAAAATCTATACATTTCTCTAAAGTATTTAGTTTTTCATGCGTTTTATTTAACCCAAAGAACCCGATTTCGTCAGCAATATATCTTTAAAAAAGAAAGGTTGTTTGTCATCATTCAAAAGTATAAAATTATCAAGGTCTTAATTGTTTAACGTAGGGTTTACCACAACACACCTCCCCATCCAAAGAATGAACTTACGGCTATAGGAAATCTCAGTATATAAGGAACTTTTACTTGAAGTCACAATTGATTTGTCACTTGCCAGTGTTATCTCTCTCTCTCTCTCTGAAATTTGAAAGCGATGGTTTTTACAGCAGAAGGATCTGTGACGCGCAGTATTAATTAAAAACATGCATATGAAAAATAACACCTGATTACTCATTTGCAAGAAATTAAAACCCCGGAGAATTCTTTTCGTAGAAAGTTCAATGTTGTTTTTATACAAATTGTCGAAGATTTCAAACGGAGCATAATAAAATGGCTACAGAAAGCTCTCCGAAAAAAAAAATTTAAGACCGGTCTGTCAATATTTTTTTCCCGGAGAGCTACAGTTCTGCAGCTAAATGACACCCCCCCCCAAAAAAAAAGAAAGGTTCCGAAACAGAAGGGATGTGTATCTGGCAGATTATAGACATAAATATCGTTATACTAAAAACATTGCAAATAAATAACCTGTCCTCCGCTGAGAATAAAACCAAGAGACCCAAAGGCCTATAATCGCTCTCCTGATAATTTTGTACAATTTTAAATCTATTTGAAGCCTCCTATTTTTTCTACATTTTTGAAGAAAGCCTTAGAATTTCAGTTGACACACTCCGAGGACACAATTGATGAAGTAAGAGGATTCTAAATTAATTAGTATCTAAAATATTTAAATTATAAGCCATAAAATTCCAAAAGTTGGTCTCTCTGACCTACTTTTTAGTTGACACAATTTGAGATTCATCAGCTGACAAAGTTTGATGATTTTGTGCCAATTATAGGGTTATTTAAAAATTACCACATATTCCAAAAATACCAAATACCAAAAAATAGATCACTATGACCCTTTTATTATGGCATAAATGACGAAGTTTATTATCGTCTAGGTTTCAAAGTGCCCAAAATACTACTCTAAAACAATTTGAAAATGAATGGCTACAGAATTCAAAAAGTAGGTCACAATGACTTACTTTTTGTTAAATATTTTAAGGCACCAAGATGAATCAACTCACAGGGTTTGACGATTCTAAACTTTTCATTATCTAAAAATGACATTGACGTTTGAAAATGAATAGACACAGTGACCTACTTTTTGGTTGACACACTTCAAGGCCTTATGATGCGTATTTATGATCATAGACTTCAAAGTGTCGAAGATACATGTATGCATGAAGTATGAGCCATGCAAAATTAAAAATTTTGTTAATGATCCTATAGTAAGCAAATGATTAAAGTTTTAACACAACATGATTTTTGGGCAACTTTGAAATGACCTTGAGACCATGCCCTTTGCCACAGGGCAATGCCTTGAAAAATGTCAACTACAACATATCCATATTTATGTAAGTTTGGTGATAATCTGCCCAATATTTAAGAAGATGACTTTTTAGCAACCACTACTTTTGTTTCTATTTCCCTAATCATTTCCCCTTGTTTTAGGGTCACATTCCTAGTTTTAGCAAAAAATGGATTCTCTACAAGACAAAAATTGACATAGGGGTTCTTGAGATATGGCCAATATTTCAAAATTTTGACTCACACCACACAAATGGCTTTAACATTAGCTTTTGGCCCAGATAAGCTAAAAATAAATAATTATTTTTGTCTGATGATTTTGCAAACAAATTTTG